ATCCTGAACAGCACATCCTTAGTCACTTCTGACTTAGGTGGCCCTATGGATTAAGGGCTTGTGCAAACTATAGGCCGTGACTTTTATTGAGTCAATTCATCTCTTATTTGGTCTTCCGCTTTTCCTGCTGTCTTCCCTTTTTCTTAGCATTATTGTCTTTTTCAGTCTTGTGTTCTTATGTGTCTGGAATATGATAGTCTCATTCTAGTAATTTTTGCTTCTAGTGAGAGTTGAGGCTTGATTTGATCTAGAATCTACTTACTCTCTTTCTGGCACTCCATGGTATCTGTAAAGCCTTTCTACTGCCTATTTAAATATATCTAAATAGATTTTTATTAGATTATTTTTCCTTTTTTGTTTTTGGGTTTTGTATGAATAAAACCTTTTATTTCTACAACTTTCCAATGAATCATTTAAAAAAATAATTTTCTTTGCCCAGCTTTCACATTAGTATACTGTAATGATGTCATTGACAGAGGGTGATTTTTGGTAATCAAAAATGTACTACTTCTGTCCTATGGCTTTACTGACTCCTATGTAATCCCATGGGAACCATGGGCAGAACCATGGACAGAAACCCTAGCAGAGCTCCCTTGTATCTTTAATTACCAAGAATCTTCCCCTGCTGGTAACGTTGCCCAGAGGTAGCAGTTTTTGGTAATGAAAGACTTCCTCCTTCAGTCCTCTAGCTTCATGACTTCCATGCAGTTAAAATGATTACACTGGAATCTGAAAAGCTATGAGAAAGCAGAAGGTTTTAATTACAAAAAATTCCTCCCTGCTGGTGACATTACTATTACAAAAATAAATCTTATACCACCTTAAAGGCTAATAAGTTCTGTTTGGCATAAGCTTCCATGGACTGTAGTCCACTTCTTTAAATGCAAAATGTGCAAGATCTGAAGTGTCTTCATATTGCATCCAATGGGCTAGACTACAGTCCATGAAAACTTTCACCAAATGAAACTTGTCTTTCAGATGGTATTAAGACTTTTCATTCTTTTTACAGCAACAGACTGAAATGGCTACCTTCTTGGAAAGAATTACAAAGTTCTCTGTACACTGAAACACTCCTGCAAGAATGTGAACATATGGAAAGCAAGCAAAAGTATATGGGAGTAACAGCTCTCTTGTTATTTTCAGGGTGCTCTGTGCTGGAGGAACTGCTGTGCTATTACTTAGTCAAGAGCTGTACAAGCGCCTCTCCAATAACGTGGCTAGTAATCCTGATTCTAGCGTTCGCATCACTGTAGAACCTGCTAATGATTGCACCAAAAGTGCCATCATGTCGGTCAAGTCAAACCCTGAAGAAGAAAGTTACAGCCCCTGCACTGCTCCATCATCAGCTCAAGAGGGAGAGCAAGAACAGATTGTCAGGAAAAGAACAACTCTTGGCTCTCTGATGCTTGTGGAATCCGTCAAAGTTAGTCTAGGTAAAACAGATGCATTTATATGCAAATATAAAAAGCTAACTGCAAGCCTAACAAAAAGGTAGCAGCAATCAGAATATGGAGTTGGAACAATTTTGCACTGGGGGACTTGATTTTGGAAGTCAGCCCTGTACTAGCTTTTGCAGTGCCATTGAGTCCCAAAGGCTGTAAGCCTAGAAGGGAAATCCTGCTTTCACACCCCAAAGAGCCATTGGAATGCTAACAGTACTGGGTTAAATAAACTGATGGTTCAACTCATTGTAAAGCAGATTCTGGCACTGCATTGCACTACTAGAAAGGATCATTGTGCTATATTTTGTGTGTGATTTTGTTGACATAGGCAGTTCATATGACTACAGTGCAAACAATTTGGGCTTTTTAAAGAAGAGTAACTTCTGTATCTGGCTGATAGTAGTGTCCAGAACTCCTGATTCCCCCCCCCCATTCCCAGCCCTTCTCCTTTACTTTAAATAACTTCCCAGAATTACCCACCCTGATCAGTTATCTGTGCTATGGTGCCCGCTAGGCTTGGTTGTTATGGTGTGTTATATACATGAGGCTTTCATGTGAAACTTACAGAAGTGTTCACAATACAGCTGCTAGCGAAGACTGGCCTGGAAGACAATATTCTGCCACTTTTGAAATCACTTTCTGGGCCAGCATTCCTTTTTCTGAACACAGTCCAAAGCAATAGTGTTTACCTTTTAAAGTCTCCAGAGGTTTGGGACACCAGTTCCTGAAGGGTGCTGTTTTCCTGCATAGATGTACTAGAACTTTGGGTAGCAGCTCTCTTGGGCCATTGACGGAATGCTTTCCCCAGGGGAGGCTTATGTAATGGTTACCTCTATTTCTTTTTAGTGGCAGCTGAGCATCTCTTTGGATACTAGCTGCATTATTTAATCTAATGCATCAACCTTTGTTTTCATGTTACGTTTTTTAAATTCGCTTGTTATATATCAATTATATACATACATCCCAGTATACGAATCAGAGTTAAAGTTCTTTGTAGAAAACAGCTGAGTACTGTTTGCGGGTATTTTTTCCCTTATCAATGTCGTTTGAAAAGTTAATGTCCAGAATAAGTGTTAATTACGCCCACCAGTGAAACTCCTCTGGCAAAACGTTTAGTTTGGCAAGCTGCCAGATGTTAAGAAGCTGGAAAATTGGCATTTCCTGTTGCATACCAATTCTGTGATTTATCACATGATTGCAAAGGATTTATATCGTATGGACTACATCATGATTAGATTTAAAAGACAGTATGTTTTGTGGAAGATCACAGTGTGTTTTGAAAAGCACTTGCTTCTTTCAGGAAACTTTCAGTTAAATCGGTGCAACTCAGTGGCCTTCAAGACCCACCTGCTTCTGAGATCCCGATGCACTGCATTGATGCAAGAGTATTACTGGCCACTGTTGCAGCAAGGCTGATTTGGTACTTGAAACAGGGAAGTCAGCAGCTGAAGAACTAACTTCCTGGGCTACAGATATGTATTTACAGTATTTGAGTAGTACAGATGCCTGTCACTGAGTTACTGGCCACTGTTGCAGCAAGGCTGATTTTTGTCATGCCAATTACAGAGTTTGGTACTTGAAACAGGGAAGTCAACAGCTGAGGAACTAACTTCCTGGGCTATAGATATGTATTTACAGTATTTGAGTAGTACAGATGCCTGTCACTGAGTGAGGATTCCCTAGTAGGACTAGCCCTATTTGGGCATTCAACAAAGGGTTTTGAAAGTCTCAGCAGGGAAAGTTCTCACTGCACCCTCCCTGTTGCTGTCTTCAAGCGGAAAAGGACCATCTAAAGCAGTGGTTCTTAACCTTTGTTACTCGGATGCTTTTGAACTGCATCTCCCAGAAACCCCAGTCAGGACAGCTGGTGGTGAAGGCGTCTGGGAGTTGCAGTCCAAAACTCCTGAGTAACCCAAGGTTAAGAACCAGTGATCTAAAGTAGTGGTTCCCAACCTCGGGTAACGCAGGTGTTCTTGAACTGCAACTCCCAGAAACCTTCACCACTAGCCAGGGTTTCCCAAAAGTTGCAGTCCAAGAACACCTGAGTCACCCAAGTTTGGGAACCACTAGTCAAGAGTTGGTCTTTTACAAGTGGAGTCTCTCTACATAGTCAGAAGCTGTGTTTTTTCAGGATCTTCAATTGTGTAGAAAAATACCACACATAGTTTTCATCTTTAGACAGTTGTGCCCATGGAGATGGAGGGGAGGGGGGCAAAGCTGGAATTCTCACATTATCCATGCTTTCAAATTAACGCTTTTTAAAAAAAGCTTGAAAGGGGTTTATGGTGTGTCTAGTTTTTTAAGGGCAGACAGCTTGTCCTAGGAATCTCCAATTATGCCTTCAGAAATGTTGGAATGAGTAGGACTGGAGACAGTTACGTTTTAATTCACTGTTGTATTTCTTTTTTCCTTTCAATTTACACCACTTTTGAGAAGAATCCATATCCAAGTCACTTGCTGAGATATTTTACAAACACTATTAAGAAAAGGAAATGTTTTGCCGTTAAACGTTTTGTAAACAAAAAGGCAGAGGTACAATAGATGTTACTTCCAACAATACTAACAAGTATCATATAATCTATTTGATACAGTTAATCTTGTTTTACACATGGCATTTAGTTCCATATGAAATATTTTAAAAAAGATTGGGGGGGTTAAATACATTTCAAGCAGGAACACAGTTATCACTGAATATCTGAGCAGTACTTTTGAACTTTTCTCACAAGGTTTAATGAACAAGCCCTTCCCATCAGTTCCTTTTCCTGTATTTTAAAGCAAATTGACGATCCATTGCTAAAGCTGATCAGAACCCTTTTCAAAGTGTCCCCTTACAATACTGTTTTGGTAACTCTTAAATATACTTACAAGAGAAATATTTGACTTTTCACTCAAAAAAAGAGACAAGCTTAAATTCAAATGGAAACTTCAATTATGTCTCATCAAAGATAGCAAGGAAATAGTTTAGCCAATCAAGAATGATTGGCAGTTGTGTTTTTTGTTCATTGTCACCTTATGGAGGAGGCTCCACTTAATAAAAGCAGCCCTAAATTGTCAACACAGTGTTCTTATCTGAGTGGGAATACCCCACCTCATCCATGATATGTGCACGTACTCTGTGCTGAAGTGCACCCATTAGTTCCACAAGAACTTGGGTTGCCTGCATGTTTTATTCTAGCCATCCTGCAGGCAGAGAAGAATTCCTCTGTGTTTTCCTGGCTAGTAAGACACAATGTTTGGCATTTAAGGGGTCGGGGTTCTTTTGTGCTTGGATTCTGAATTTAGTTCCCTTATAAATCCTTGAAGATTGTTGTCACTTCACAGTCATACAGAAGAGTCTCTGGTAGACTTTAGATGGCTAATCTTGGTCCTGCTAATGAACGGATAAGTGGTGCAAAGACACCCCGCTGCTACAGTGAGTCCTAAGCTGCACCAAGCACAGAATATCGACCAGCCGTATCCATGTTCAACATCCACAGGAAGACCATAGATGATTTTCGGTAGGCGGTTTAAGTCATAGGAGACACTTGCTGCATATGTGCAGAGGGAAATAGTGCAAAAGATGCCTGCAAACAAGACGAATCACAGTGCTGCGGTTAGTAAATGTATGGTTAGTAAAACAGGGAATTACTAAGAGCCCAAAATGGAACAATACTTTAGATGCACAGCATGCTGACGAATGACTGACAATTTTGGAGACTCAATGAGGCTCTACATTTTTGATCTTTCAGAATGTTCAGCATATTGTATATAAATGATAGGTTCCATATAGAGATTGGCATGAATCGCAGTTTGGCAACAGTGCCCACCCATGTGTTCTGCAGGTGCTGTGCGCTTCCCTTCCCTGCATCCTCCAGGTGATCGCCCCCTCCCTGGCAGCAACGACCGTCGCTCCTCCACCTCAAGCTATCACCCACTCAGAAGCAGTACCAGGGGCTTCCCTACCCAGCCTCCTCATCTGAGAGGGTTGCCACTGAAGAAGGCAGAGGAAGGAAGCACACTGCCAACCCGCTGTTCATGCCCATCTCTAGTTCCACGCAATGAAAAATGTGGCTTAAGAAGAACAAGAGGGCTCAATGGTGCCCATTCAGCCACAAAAACTACCTTCAACAGATCCTCCCAGGCCAAAACATTGCTACATAAGGTGAAGAAACAAACACCCCACCCCACAGTCAAAAGACACTATACTTCTTGTTTATTTAAACTATACCCCATTTTTCTCAAGAAGACCAAAGGCTTGCCAATTTCTTTTTGCACTAAAGACAGCAAATCCCACAAGAACTCCCCTTCCCAGCAGTCAAAATACAATACAGTAGGACCCTCTTATCCACGGGATCAGTATTTGCTGATTCACTTACCCACGTTCTGAAAATATTAAAAGAAAAATCCTAGAAATATATATTTCTAAAGATGAAGTTACCAGAACAGGCCACAAGAAGGACCCAGACTATTCACTATCATCAGCTTTTTAGCATCTGCACGGGAGGAACCAATTCCCCCATATGGGGGGGGGGGACTACTGTAATAATAAATTAAAAAACTGTTGGCTACTCCCAAAATGCTCTCTGAGGTGGCTGGCTCACTGTAGCTAATGGTAGGACTGGTCTTCAATACAGCTGGTAGGCAAAGATGGAATGATACCTGACATAAGGAAGAGAAGACCAGCAACATGCTGTGTGAGGCTTTCTTCCCAAAAAAAGCTGACAGTTGTTACAATACACCCACAGAGAAGAACAGCTGCTGCCATTCCAAGAAAACCTGCTGTGATTCGTCTTAGATCTGTTTCAATAAGAGAAAAAAGGAAGAGGTTAAATTCACACCCACAGAGGAAGTTAATTTTTTTTTATTAAGGCTCACTGCAATCGTACGCATATGTTGCTGTGGGTAAGTTCCACTGAATCCAGTGGGACGTAGTTCTGAATAAATACACAGAAATTGTACTGTGTATGTTTCCTTGTACTATGAAAGGCAAATCCACAATTTTAAAAAAGTTAACTGTGCCTTCCCTTTTTCTTAATATATAAATGACAGTTTACAAAATTGTGAAGCAGCCTGTTTATAAAAGTTAACAAGAAATCTTTGAACAGCTTATTAAATATGCATTTGCGTGGATTCAGAAGAGACGTCTCCTGCAATTTTCCATTTTAATCATGCCGCTAAAAAACTGTATAACAAACAAACTGGATTTATGTTTTTGCAAGGTAATGTGCAAAGCGTCCTGATATGGAGTATGATATTATGCAGACAACATATTGTCATGGTAGAGTAGAGCACAATATTCATCATCCCATTATGGAGTATGATATTATGCAGACAACATATTATGGTACAGTAGAGCACAATATTCATCATCGCATTGAGAAGGCTGCTTACTCCATCTGGAAACAGAAATACTTACGTAGCAGGTGCCATTCATCCTGCTGAATGGCCTTGGTTAAGTTAAATGGGATGTTCCGTAAGCGAAGGGGCAGAGCAAAGTGGTATTTGATTGCTGTGCATCTCTGAGTGATACCTTTAAGAAAAGCAAGGACAGAACTGTTTCAGAAATTCATCCAAACAAGAACTGGGGTGTGGGTGAGGATTCTTCAACACCAAGAAAACAATCAGTACTTAATCAACTGCAGATTTCCCATTCTGTCCTGTTATAATTTTGTAATGCACTGGTTTCCAAACTTGGTTCAGCCAGGTGTTCTTGGACAGCAACTTGAGATGAGCACAAACTGCACTTCAGCAGTTTGGCCAGTTCAATGCAGTGCCCACACAGGTGTTCTGTGGGAGCCATGTGCTTCCCTCCTCTGCCTCCTCTGTGCAATCTACCTACTCACCAGCAGAAGCGTACTTCTCTGCCTCCTCGAGCAATCGCCCACTCACTGGTAGCAGTGCAGGCTTCCCTGCCCTGTCTCCTCAGGATGGCCCACTCAGATGAGGTGGGGCAGGGAAGCCGGCACTGCTGCTAGTGAGTAGATGGTCACCCAAGGAGGTGGAGGATGGAAGTGTGCAGTGCCCACAGAACACCTGTGTGGCACTGTGCTAAACCAGACCAAACCACTGAAGTGTGGTTCATTTGCATTTCTATTGGGAACCACTGTTGTAATGTAATCCTCGTCCCACAGACATACAATAATCTGATTCCACACATTCCGTCTCCTAAATCATGAAAACGGTCAGCCGTCATTCTAACATTGCATTTTCTACATTTCTGAAATTATACTATAGCCTGTAGTTTCTATTTGCTTCTAATGCAAGTGCTATCCTGCTGATATTTTGATTTTTAAAAAATTCTAATGGCACAGTGCAGCAGCAAAATTATCATCTTTATCATCATCAACTGAAAATTCACTTCAAAGCTGATTGTGGATTGCAGCTCTCCTCCTAGCCAACTTAACAATATCTGGATGTTCACAATTGCCCACCCCTGGGCTAAAGCTTTCTTTACATTTCTGATCATTTTCACTGTAAAGTCACAAATTATCTTTCGCAACTAATTAGCCATTTTCTCCAGGCCTTCAACTGCAGATCTATGATGGATCTAGTAGCTTAGTCTTCACTTGCAATAATTTTCTGGTGCAAACTGCAGATCTATGATGGATCTAGTAGCTTTTCTTTGGCACAGACATAGTCTTCACTTGCAGTAATTTTCTGGTGCAATCCAATATATGTCTAATAAGAAGGAAGCCCCATGAAGTTCAATAGGTCTCACTTCCAAATAAGTGAGATTACACCTTGTTGTTCATCTAACTTCCTTATTCATTGCACCCTCTGATCCTGACTGCAAGAAAGCTTTGTCTGTTTTGAAAAACTAGACAACTGATTTATGTATGTCATTTATCCTTTTTAAAAATTGTTTTTGTTCAAACTCATTATGTTCTTGGCTGCCTAATTTGTATTCAGTCATATATATCATGGTGGTGTACTACATATGTGGAATTTATGTGCATGCATGTGTTACGTTAAGCATCTCATATGCAGCAAGGTTTATAAATCCTATCAGCAGCACTGCCCCCCTGGTAATTAGTGCCCTTCATTATCCCACTTTAAGCTTGGCTGCATGGTTTGGCTGGGGTGGCCTGGTGAAGACTAAATAGAATTGCTAGGAGGTCCAGCATGCTATTTGGTGAGATCCTCAATTGGGAAATTGACAGCCTACTGTCAATTTCCCAATACCACAAAGCTTAAGAAGAAAGCCACTTCAGGATATTGGCAAATTAAAAACTTCCATGGCTCCATGGAGGGGCCAAGGAAGTGGGAAAAAAACTTTTTAAAGCACATAGTATTGAAAAGCCACTTCAGGATATTGGCAAATTTAAAACTTCCATGGCTCCATGGAGAGGCCAATGAAGTGGGAAAAAACTTTTTAAAGCATACAATATTGGCACACCTTATGTTTTGCCCTCTCCCTTTGAGAAGAGCTTTCGACTGATTTTACCTGCACCATTGTCTTCCTGTTTCCTGCTAGTTTGTTTTAAAAAAGGAAGCTGCCATCACGTTTCATGGGAGTAATAGTTCTTTGGGAGGTGCCCTCCCTAGAGCCTAGAGCCTCCCGGGAAGTACCACAGCATTTTCCTTTTTTAAAAAAATCAACAGCTGGGTTGATCCATAACAAGGTATGAAGCTAAAATACAAAACCAAACCACCCTCAAATGCTTTGCATTTCAACAACGATAGCATGCAATAATAATCTGTTCCTAATAAAATATATTTCTTGACCAGCTAAGCTTCAAAGAAAGAGAAAAATGTGAAAGCAGTACAGGTAACCTTATAGTTACTGTTACTCAGCACACTCTGGAGTTTTGACTCTGTGAGCCCTGGCTTCACCACACCCTTGCTTTCAGGGAGAGATTGTATGAATCTACTAAAGCCATCAGATTATCAGATGAAGTTGTTGGTTCAGGTTTTGTTGGGAGTTTTTACAACTTTGCATGCTGCTTTTCAGGGCTGGAGTAACTGTCAGTCTATCCAGCGCAACACTGACCAATTTTCCTTCCCCCCCCCTTCTGATTTCAAAGACAACCCCACCTCTCTGCTGAGAGCTTGTTTTCCCTCTCTAGACTGTGCTGAAGTCAATTGCTGACAGCAGACATCTTTGTTAGCTGGCTGTTTGATGTGTTTCAACAGCAAGTAAATGAAATGTTTTTATTCTTTTACTTACTAACACCTCAGAGTGAGTTACTGAGACCGTTAAGTGCCAGATAGAGAGAAAAAGGAGTGAACTACTCTGGGGGACTTGAAGCTATTCTGCTCTGTAAATCTCTGTACTTCTGTTACACAGCAAGAATTTCACCAAAATCCAAGCTTTAGAACAGGTTTAGCCACTAGTGCAGTACTTAGCCGACAGAGGATGAGATGGCTGGACAGTGTCTGTGAAGCAACCAACATGAAATTGACACAACTCTGGGAAGCAGTGGAAGATAGGAGGGCCTGGCGTGCTCTGGTCCATGGGGTCACAAAGAGTCGGACACGACTAAACGACGAACGACAACGCAGTACTTAGCAGACTGCAGAGCTGGTGGTGAACATTTTGGAGTTGTCGGTGGCTCTGATTCTCTATTTTAAAATTTTCTAACTCTTTTTGTCATTTTAATAAGAGCATAAAGATCAAAGACAGGAGACAGCCACAGCACTGTAACACATGCACCCTAGAGACATAGGGCAGGGTTACGGGTTACCATCAAAAGAGAGAAGGCAAAGCACTGTCTGGTACCACTTTGAGAATGGATCTTGTTGGCCTTCACTGCATGAAACAAATGAGATAAGGTAAATGGTAAGTGCATTTCTGGGCACCAGTCCCAGAGCCCGTCAACAAGGGCAAAGACCTATCTGGCAAAAATAAAATATGTAGAATCGTCTGTCAGCATGCAACTGTCCATCGGCCTCTTAAGCCGCCAACCATGGAGGAGAAGGGGTATGGAAAATTAAGGGGCCACAAGACGGATAGCTCCAGTACCAGCCCAGATCACAAATGCCCTGGGCAACATAAGGGCAGCAAAGGACTAGATGTTTAATATATTCGCAAAGGCTTTCACAGCCGGGATCTAATGATTGTTGTGGGTTTTTCGGGCTCTTTGGCCGTGTTCCGAAGGTTGTTCTTCCTGACGTTTTGCCGGTCTCTATGGCCGGCATCTTCAGAGGACTACATGTTTGCTACTGTGCAGTGTTACACTTCTGAGCCGTGGAGCTCCAAAATTGGGGATGAGGGCTATGCAGTCTTAGAGTGATGCTTAGGTTATATTCACTTAGCTGTCCTCAATTTTACACTGCCCCACGTCTCTGCACGCCTGCTGACGGCAAGCCTTGTTTCTTCCCCGTGCCCATCCCGTACCTTTCAGTGAAACACCACACTCACCCGCCTTGTTCAGTGCAGCAGTATGTTAACGCTGAACTTTACAGATGTTCCTTAGGGTTTGAACATGATGCCCTCCAGCAAGGAGACTCTTTCTGCCTGAAAAGATTCGCTCTGATTTAGCTGCCTGCCTCTGAGCCGCTCTGCCTGCTCTGGGCCCGCTGTGCTATCTTTCTGAAGAGTACTTTAACACAGCCTAACGTTTGCTCTTTAACTGGCTCTTCTCTGGCGCTGTTCTTTCCCTATAAAGACGGAAGATTTTCTAAGAGCTCCGCTGTGGGAACTGCGAGAGGGCAAGAACAACCTCAATGAGCAAGATGAATATTCGACTGCAAGCGGCAAGGATTTATCAGGTTATAGGCACCTCTTTGGGGTCTATGACATCTCCAAGGTTCACATACACTTCTTTTTTTAAAACAAAAAAGTATATGACTGCTATTCTGAATTTCTAAATTACTTCGGATTTAGGATCAAGACTAAATTGGATGGGATCTTCATCACTTTAGACTAAAAGTGATGATCACATGAGTAAATCAGTTGCAATCTGGACCACTCGTGGAGCATTCGGGTGCAATCTTTTCCACGACAATCACACAACATATGGGGAAACGTGCTACAACCACAATCCATCCCTAAAGCGGATCTTTTTGGTCCAGCTATAGGGCTTCTGCTTTGGGACCAGGCTCGCTGGAGTGATTTTGCAGTAGAAGAAGAAGCACTTTAAAAGGAGATCACTCCTTAAAGTGCCCCTTCCCAGGGATCGGGACTCAAGTCGTGAGACTCGCAATCAAGTTGGACTTATGTCGAACCAGTGACTTGACTCAGGTTTTTATTTCAATGAATCAGATTCAACTAGCAGCTCAGAACCCACCCACCCCTTCCTTTTTTCTTCTGGGGAAAAAAGTATATTTTTAATAGAGACTCAGACTTGGAGCTTTTACCGTTCATTTACCACCAACACACTTCTCCATGAAGGAATGTGCAGGGTACCTTGCGCAAGCATATGGCATTTACAGTCCCTCTATGCACTTCCTACGCACTTGCAGAGACATTGTTCTATCACCAGCACAAATGCCTCCCAGAGTGGCTACGGGCATGGTTTTCCATGGCAAAACTTCACTATAAGTGGATGATGCTCTGGCTATGGCCCTGCAGTGCAGTTATGCCACTCT